GATTTAATTTTGAATATCTCCATATTTTTTGTATTTTGTTCAAAAACGACATAAAGCTATTTTTTATCTTATTTACAGTTTTATCTTATTTATAGTTTTATTTATATCTTCATATCATCTATCTTCTCATTGATAAATGTGTAATTCCTTTTTAAATAAGGGAGACCGGGATTAATAGACTCATTTTTCAGTTTCGAATTTTTACAGATGAAATTAAGAGACTTATCGAAAAGATGAATTCTACACCAGTTACTACATATATTTAACTACCTAATAATATTTTAATAATAAGGGAAACTGATAAAACTAATATGAATTAATATGAAAAAAATGCATTTTTCTAATGCATTCTCTCTAATGCATGCATCTGATTCAACTAGCCCCGGGACTGAGATAATTCGATTAAGATTATTAAAATAAAGATTAATGTATTTTAAGTTACATTTTTGGATATATATTAATAAAACTTTTATAAAAATATAAACTTTTTTAAACATAAACATTCATTTCGCTACGCAAAACAATACTTCTTTTTGTAAAATTTATTCATTTCGTACAAAAAACACATCGAACCTAATTTTCGAGATTGCACATAAGAGAACTAAACTTACAATATTTAACCACTGAGGAAAATCTCTTTAAAGGAATAAAATTTTGAATAAGTACTATAAGAGTCGTCACTAAATGAGTCATACAGTTCCATGCTATGGTTAGTCTCTTATCCCCCATCCGTTCATTTTGTAAAAACATTAACAATATACAATAACAACAAAGATATATAAACAAACAAAATCTGCTGGACTTTATTAAGTAAAAACACTCACTATCTAAGTAGAAATCAAATAACTCAGACAACCATATACGATTGTAAAACAAAAATTTTAAGAATAAAAATATTTACTTAAGTGTATGATTTTTAAAAATTGTGGCATAACTTCTATCATGTGTTCACAACAAGATGTTACGGCAGACTTAACGGCAGTCTGCATGCTCAGACACGTTTACGCGTGTCTCGCGTAATTTTTTTTTAATGTAGCCTCGATTATTCTATTTACCCTTATAGTCAACTGATTCCGGTCTCTCCTACTCATATATTTTAATAAAATTGGCCAAGATTTTTAATTTAAAACAATCAAATATAATGCAAATTTTATTTATTTGAAGCAAAAATGGCAAGATTTTATTCGTATTTTTTATTTCGTATTTAATATTCTAAACAAAATAGTCTAATTATATGTAAATTGATTGTCCTGTTTTATTTACATCTTAAATTATTAAAAATATCAAATTTCTTATTCGACTTGCGATATATAACATCTATTACATTAATATCTAGATAAAACATTAATATCTGGAATTCGAGGTCATATTCCTAATCCTACTGTACATTATTATCCATAAAGCTTAAATCTTGCATAAATCGCATTATATTCCCATTATACGCCATTGTTAACAAAGCTGGAATCTCATGTTCGCTATTATAACGTAGTAGTATACTCTATTGTTAACGAAGTTTGAGTTACATGTCCGACAGAATGCTCGTTACTCCGCACTGTGCCGTTTCACCGCTGATTTACAGAGAGAGATAAATTTTTTGAATCACCCACGACAGCGAATTCGAACGTCGCCGAATGCACGACGCGATTGTGCTCGGCCAGCTCAGCCGTAGCGATCGACGTGTCCCAAGGAGATTTGTTAACTTCTGGCAAACAGAAGTTTATCAATAAAATTGCTTTCACGGTGTAATACCGTGCTGGAACGTAGCCAAATTCGGCTATCTGGCTCCTATGCGCGCGCTTTGCGGCGGTTCACACGCTCGCACACATTCGCGGCTTGACCGATGCGCATGCATGCGACTCTAGTGTGCATATTTAGAATGCACCGTTCGCTTTAATCATTTAGTAACTCGACATGGTAATTACGTTGGCCCTGGTTAATTCCATGCGCAAATATCCGCCGAGTTATTATTTTGTGCTGGACGTTATTAATTTTCTGCTGCATATATGTATAGTTAAGCGACTAACCGCAAGCTTGTATTATATGTACATATCATGTAGAATTATTTTCATATTGAACTTTCCCCCATGACTTTCCCAACACAGAAATGAAATTCGTGACCTATTTTCTGAATCAAGAGACAATTCTTCATATACGTACGTATATCACCATGCCGCCTTTCAAATAATATATGAGAGACAAACAGTTATGTGAAAAAACATGATATAAAATAGTAATAAAAAAATTAATCATATAATATTTAAGAAAAAATTCAAATATTTAGATGTACTTAGATTTTCTTTAATTTATCATTACTGCTTATATCTTAATATTTTGTCATTTTGGAAGAAATATCTCAACACATGTATAAAATACAAAATATTTGCAAATCATATTACTTATGTTATATTTTATTATTACAACGGTACAGTATATAGAACCATTTTATGTATATAACTATACACATCTTTAATATTGTATTATAAAAAGAAATTTAATATTGGTTTTATGAATAAAAAAGTAATTCTTTTTAATTGTTATACAACATTATCGACTTAAACATTAATTCACATAACTATGTAAAAATTCAAGTAAAAAGTTTATAAAGAAAAAATACCACTTTTAAATGTAATATTTAAAAAGTAGTTGATTTGCACGAGCTATTACGTTACATATTCGAGTGAAGTAAAATTTTTAACACGTTAAAACTAACTTCGATTCACGAACGCGGTGCACTAGACATGCCGAAACTGCAAGTAACAAGATTTAGCGTTAGAGAGGCTTCGCTTCGCCTGAGATAAGGATGTTAGGAAGCTGTGCTAGTATTGGAGAATGGGATCGTCACACCAAGAATCAGATGGTAGAGCTCTGTTCTAGTATTGGCGAGAGTGAAGCTTTATGCGACAATCTCTCGAATCCTTAATCGTGTAAATAGAATTTATTTCGCGCATCAAGCAAGTCACACAAACTCTCGAGGCAGTTTGTGCGATTCGATATACCACACCTATACATTAACACGAAGTTTCTTGACAAAATAATAGTCCTTTGCTCGCACAGTATAAGTTGTTCTTAACTCGTCAATATCGATTAATTTATCGATATCGTTAACTAATTCTATCCAGAATTTTTTTGATAACTTTTTTAGTTTTAAACTATACATTATTAATAAAAGAAGAATTTTTTAATGCAATTTTTCTCGTTTTTTTAATTAAAGTGAGAGAAAATTTTGTTGATAGAATCTTTTTTAGATTTTTTAATAACACAATATTTAAATCAAAATTTTAAAAAGCTAAAAAGTATGTCATAAGATTCATATTTTCTAATCTAAACGTCTGTGCATTATGTAAATATCTTTTTTTTTTATTTAAAATATATTTAAAAAAATATTTTACTTAGGTGCGCGGTACAATAAAGAAATAAAAAATTAAAGGTAGATACTAACTGGCAACGTAAATTTCAATTTTCCACGTTAAACAAAATAGAGGTAAAAAATGTATCACACTGATTGACACTGAGCGACGATGAAAATAGTTGATTTTTACGAGAAAATTTTTGAAACACCCAAAGCGTGGCAGAATCTGATATAATCCGACAAGTATTTCCGATTCAATTATGAAACTCACCTCGTTTCGAGGCGTGGAAACTATCTTGCGGCTGTATCACCTCGACCTGAGCGCTGAGGCGAGACTTGGGCAGGATGTCCCGGTTGGCGTTGATCTTCTCCGCGGCGTAGCGAAAGGCCACTTCCTGCTTGTCGTCCGACGGATGAAACAGCCCGCCTGGGAAATCACGCATCCATATTAAAAGGTGCTACTTTGAGATCCACGCGTGTACTACTTATTTTCCGTCTACAAGCACCATTACAGAATATCTTTATCAAACCGTCTATTTACTCGGTTTTCTGTTCACTAGAGTAGGATAAAGATTTATGGTCTACTTACACCTACGTGAGATGATCCCGACTAGAACCGTGTTCCGTGTAACTTCTGTACAATGTATTTTATGCGCATGTGTTTACATGTTACATTTTATATGTTCAGTGTCTTTGAAATAATTTTAATATCTTTGGCAAGAATATTTTGGTATAAGTTTGAATATATGTATTTAATAAATACATCTTAAAAAACCATATTAATATTCTGAAAAAGATACATTAAGTACAAAAATACTTTTTATTGATAAGTTCCAACAAATTTTAAAAATATATTATTATATAATTTATTGATTTTATAAAAAAAAATCTTGAAAAATTTTATCTAGTATCGGCAAATTTTATTTAATGTCCTATAAATAAATCGTAAAATAAAAGATTTACTTTAAAAAGTAAAATATCAGAAAAGAAATAATAGTGCTAAATCATAATTTGACTGCTATGAAACAAAATTGGATTAAAGTTCGTAAAATATCTTTGTATTTAAATTTAAAATGATGGTATCCCAATCGAAAATTTCCATATGTAAACACAGATTTATTTTTTTTATCTTTTTTTTCGATCGAGAAAAGAGATATGCGAGTACACGTTCTATTCGTTACCATTTCCATCATTTCGTGTCACATAAGTACTCGCGACAGTTTCTTCGTATGATCCGCTGATATTCTGCGCCTTCTAATTCATTCGGTTAGGAGAAATTGGCGCCATAAATTGATTTTAATCTCGTGTATGTCATAAAGTAACTGTACGAGCAGCTGCACCGGCTTGACTCTGCGATTTATAGAATTTGCGGAATAGATTTACGTCTCTCGTTAGCGACCTGCTATCGATTCTCTTTGGCATACCTCGTAAGGTACGTTGCTCGACTCGCTACGCTCATTGTGACAATAATAAACCTAATAATGCAAATGAGAATGAATATAGTTTGAAAATTTAACGCAAAATGAAGAAAGATGAACACACATTCTCGCAGTGGAAGTATAAATCCATTGCAATTTCTTTATCAGATATATAAAAATTTTGAATTAATACATCTGTAACACTTTCGTCAAGGAGAGAAAACGGAAACTAGCAAATGTGATTAAAAATGGGCAATAACGCTACACTTGCTACGAGTTTTAATGCATTCGTTCGTATTCTTATTCCATTTCACCAATGCCATGTATGGCCAATAACTTTCTATATCGGAAAATTGAAAAAAGAAAACAATTTACGAAATAGTTACAAGAAAGACTGGAGTGAGAGAGATAAATAATAATTTTGTAGTTAATGACTTATTGAGCAATCAACTGAATTTGTGTTGCAAATATTGATAAATATTTCAAATGTGACAATCGATCGTAAAATCGTCGGAAACGTTGGAAAATAAACGTTTACATAAATTAAACGTTACCTTTTTTCAGGTCAGCTGCCCAATCAAATTAAATGAATTTAAATATTCATTGATCGCTAATAAATTATTTCGCACAGAGTGATTGAGAATGCCAACAACTGTCGCTTCCGTTACAATCATTACAACGCAATAAATATGTTAAATTGTTCCCACAATACATATTAAGACTCATTCTTAGTGTTTTATATAAAATCACGCCATTTAATTACACGTGTGAATAAATGAACTTCCCATCGCCATGGCCGGTTGACTCAAATAAATCACGAAAAGTATTAATGACTATGGCGCACGCCGCTTTTAATTTTCACGTCAATTTGACAGCTCCCGTTTATAATAACGTTGAATTCAAAGCACATAATGAGCCGCTGTTCTAGAACAAAAGATTGTTTGTAATCCTGGTTATATCATGCGCGCAAAAGACAGCTTTGTGAGCGCATACATTACAAACTTAATTACATTTTTCTCGTATAACTATTTTATGTATAATCTGTTATGCATAGGCATTTGTGTACGTTTAAACCGTAACAAAATTGAAAAAGATTTGTATATCGTACTGTTACATTTTTTTATCAGAACAAAAACGGGTTTTTACTCTTTTTAGATTTATACTTTTCCTCATATCAGCTATTCAATTTTCAAACATAATATCCTTAAAAAGAAAGACTATGATGTAATTGTTCGACTAACAATAGCGATGGAAAAAGCAGATAAAAATGTAGTAGAAGAAAATTGAACGAATTAAACTGGCACCGAAAAAGATACCGCGAAAAGTTAGAAAAATAAGAAATGTGAAACGCTTAAAATTCAATCGGTGTAATGTAAGCTAAAAGAATTTCTAGTTTTCTCTCTCTCTTGTTTTAGTCTCTCTTTATACTATTTCGTAAATTTCTTTCCTTTTTCAGTTTTCCGATACAGAAAGCTATTGGCTATACACGGCATTGGTGATATGCCACACGGAACAAGCGTACGGACATAGTACGAACGAATGCATCAAAACTCGTAGCAAGTACAGCACGTATCTCCCTGAGCTCGGACGTGTATATCGATCTGCTTTTGCTTCTCTCTCGCTACCTTGGAAAAGAAAGCGTTCGGAAATTGAGTGCATCGTGAATTTACGTTTCGATAAAAGTTCACCGAGTATAGTCGGGCATTCGGTATCACGTACATCCACGCATATATCCGCGCGTCGTCGAGAAATGACAATCGTAATATTAAACAGTGACGTGACAGTTTTGCATGTGCGTAAAATATACGAGCTGTTGTTGTTTCATCATATTTTTAAGAGATAAAACTGCAAAACTGCAAAAAGCTGATATGCAGCAAAGTACTTCTGTTATAAATTATAATTATTTTTCGGATATATGTAAATCAATTATTTTCGAAATAGAAACGTCGTGGTCAATATAACGTTGTGTTACTATTAAATTCTGATAATAATAACGTTATTAACTTTTGTTTTACTAGCTATTGATAGCAATATAATGATACAATATAATGATACAATAACAAAGAATTTCCATTAAATAAATGAGATTTTATTTTCTATTAGAAAGTATCGATGAAAATTTTCGATCTCATAATTTCCTGTACGCGAATTTAAATATGTTTGTGGTTTTCAAGTAAAAACAAGCAAAATTTTTGCGACAAAATTACAAAATATATTTTTAAAACCGGTTCTATAAAAAGAGAATGTATAAAAATATTTTGCATCATAAAACAACATAGTAATATCAATATTTGTAAATTTATATCTTATTTCTTTATTATATTAATTATTATTATTTTAACATTATATTTATTACATTGCATTAAAATTATCTTATTAATTTATAATAACTTTTTAAATATTTATATAAAAGACTAATTTTGTTCTTTTGATAAAATTTTTATAAAATATAAATAGAAATTGTAAAAATTTTTTAATATAAATTTTTGCGAGACAACGTACAAAAATTCTTAATATTTTTTTCGATTCAAAATATGTAAAATTATCGTTCATAGTCGTTGCGTATGAAAAATCTTTTAAAAAATGTATTATGTATCTCTTTTATATGTTATTTTCAACAGTGAGATTTTGTAGAGTTTCGTGACTTGTAAGCGGAATGTGCTATATCAGTATCTGCTGTTCACAGAGGCAGCTACTTTCAATATATCCACAGGCAGATGGTTAGCGACATTTAACTGTGAAATACCTCTTGTTTATATATCCGCTACATGCGCAGCAGTACACGCGTGGTTGCTATCGGAGTGATTTTCTCTCTGACGCGCAACAGCCAGAACTTCGGTAATTGTCGTCGCACACGGTAAAATGCATGTTATCCGCGTCACGTTGCCTGTGTTTCTCTTGCACTACCATCAATGCCAATTAAATAGAACACCGTTAATAGCACACCCTTTTATCGCCGCTATTAATTTCAATTATTTATCTGGCCAGCAAAACATTTTCACGAAGCCGTTATAGTTTAACAATATTTGGCAATTGCCTAATACGTAACAATATGAATATAAACTAAGAATATAAACTAAGATTGAAAACATAAGGCGATGTAATTTATCCAAAAATAGTTTTTTAATATATACTTTATTAAGAATATAAGCAAAAGTCATGATTACAAAAATTGAAATATAAAAGAGATATAATGAAAAGGAACAAAAATAATAATGTTAATTTAACTATTATAATTTTTTTAATAAATAAAACAAGATTTTGTGTGAAAAAAATCACTTCAAATGCTTTTACGTTAAAAAAAAACTTGCTTTAATCACTACGATTATTTATCTCAACAGCTAAGTCTACAATTAAATTCCACTTCAAATTAACTGAGAAATAAGATTTTGATTTCTGATTATAATATTCGTAAAGCTTCTACGAATATTATCTCGAAAAGTCAAATCCATACTACCGTTGCCTTACTCGTGGATATTATCGATCGAGACATTGATAATAATTTTACTGACGCCATTGAATGCAGTCGAAAGGGTCGTGGCTTTCACACCAGGAGAAAGATACTCACCTATCCTAATGAAATCAGGAAGAGCCGCAGCGTGGGCGGCGAGGAGCGCCAGCAGTAGCAGCCACCTCGCAGCCATTTCCGGTTCCGGTTCACCCCGCCGTCTCTCCCTGTGCCCTCCGTCGTTGCCTCCACCGCCGCTGTCTGTAACCTCTCTCTCTTCCTCTCTGTCTCCTCCGCTCCTTCGTTTTCTCTTTGTCCTCCCGAAGGAACTTACGCCACTGGAAAACAAGATTGGACAGCGAGTTCATTAAAATGCACACCACAAGTCTTCGTATTCAGTCTGAATATCTGTTCTCGTTTACAAGAGAATTGTATTTCGGGCGCCCAACGTCACCGATTACCGACACGAAATCAGCGATGATTGAGGAACATCGTTGCCTACAAGGATAGGAAAGCAATGAAAGGACAGACAAAATTGAGCGACGAATAGGCGATCATCAACGCCGAAATATTGCAGGCGAAATTGTAGGAATAAGATCACGAAACATTAATCAAATTAGATATTATCTTACATTAGTAATACAATTCATTGGCAATGCATTGATTAAACATTGGTTAGGTTGGTATAAAGAGAATATATTGGCTTTGGTCGTTACAACAACAACAATCTTTATAAAAAAGAAATGTATAAATAAATGTGAATTCACGTTACATTAATATTAAATATTAAGATGCCCCTATAAATGATTCTCACAACCGTAATTCTTACACGATAAATAACATCTGATTAGAATATTCTCATACATGGTTGCCTTAACCGAAGATTTATTGCTGCCTTTCGAATAATATAGTTGCACGGCACAGTACTAAGACTTCAATTTCATTGAAGACATCAATAATAGATATATAAAATAAACAACAACAGTATTATAGTACTATCAACTCGCAAAGAATTTTTATATAAAATAAAGTGTGTATTATAGTGTGTGATTTTTTTTATGCATATTATTGTGAATACAATTGTGAATAATTACGAATAATCCTTGATTTAAATGCATGCATTTGCTACGCGTCAAATACACGTCTGTCTATGGACTATCCTAATCAAATATGTTTCTATAAACATATGTGCTTAACGCGCGTTATAATGTGTATGGAAAGGAGTTAATCTTGCCAGCTTTAGCTTCAAAGCACAGGATTTAACTCTGACCTAGAAATAATCATTACTGTTATAACCACACTTACCACATCTCCGGCTTTCAACTGGAAACTCTGGCTTTTTAACCAAATCTCCGGCACACGGAAACTCTCCAACTAACAGCTCAAAATTTTAATAACTTTTTTATATAACGTGTCAACTTTCTTCCGGTTTTTAGAAATATTTCCGCCAGGAGAGCTAAATTTAATGATTTTTTTTGTTTAGAAAATGCTACCAGGAATTTCAGTATTGGCAATTTCAACTGGTTCTCGAATTCTGGCAGGATAGTAAAATCTTTCGCAGAAAAACTGTCGATCTTAAAAACTAAAAATGTGGCAGCCGTGGATGTAACATCCATATAGTAATTATCTTTGTTAAGGTTGGAATAACCTGCATATAAGTCACTTTCAGAATATTACGATTTTCATAACTTTTTTATAACACAAGTTAAAAACTGATTGATCAATCAGTCTTTAAACTTGTGTTATAAAAATGTGTACATTCTTTGTTACATTTAAATTATTTAAGATTCAATTTTGGTTTTGATGTCTGGACTATAATTAATATTAGAGTTTTTTCCTTTCTTTTTTCTTTTTTTTTGCTATTAACGTTTTACGTATATTAAAAGTTATTCATTAATTTCAACATAATTGACATTGATTCGTTGAATGATCAAAAATTAGTTTTTGACTAAACCGATAGAATTTAAGTTTGCGATATAGTGAATTTTTGTTTCAGTAAACTATCTTCTATTATTTCACAATAAATCATTTTTGCTTTCTCTCTCTCAACAAATTTATCTTTTAATAATTTTAATACATTTTAGATTGTTAGAGTTTGTTTTTATAATATTTTACAATAGTTTCCGTTAATAGATGGAGGTGGCTCATTGAAATTAATTAGTTTGTAAAAAAAATTTTTTGTAATTACATCATATTGTCTCTGAGGATGACTGAAAAGTGAACTGAAATATGTAAGCGGATTAATTAAAGTTGTTTTATTAACCGTATTGGTTTGCACAAAAAATATCATGTTTGATTCCTATTGACCTGTTATATCCAACCATTTTGTATCAAGAAATCTTTAGGAATTAAATTATATATATAT